CTTTCCCTTTAGATATAATACACTTATACAGTGGGCAGATGGAGAGAAGATGACACAGATAATGGATATTAGACTAAATGAACATCAAGTGCTGAAGACCAGAGGCATGGTCTCATGGCACAAATGATGTCTCTCTGAAATCCCATGGTTGTGACATGAATGATGTTTTTATGAAGCCCCATGGTTCCTCCATGCCTGTTTAAGCTTGTCCAAGAAGATATTTGCTTTGCTAACTTAGAATGGTGATTTTTGGCAGCCATAAAGGGCATAATGTGAAATAATGCTCTTGGGGTATGTAAATGTTTGGCACCACTGGAAGCTTTCAGACAGAGATGAAAACTCCAGACTTGATGGAGGGATGCCCAGGTGGAGAATGGCAAGCAAATTGATTTATATATTTTTTTCATATTGGCACTGAGACCAAAACTAACTGCTGCAACATTAAATGAGTTATAGGTTCTTGAAGAGCAGCAGCAAGAAGTAAAGCTGGTTTTATATTTTTGGATAAGAAATGGAGCATTTTTTAATTTTTACTGTTGGACATAATTGATTGTATGTGGACCCTGGCATGCAGACTGCTAGTGGCATTATCTGTAACTAAGTGAACACTCAAGGTACCACTAAGCATCCCTCCTTGTCCTTTCACTGAGTGACCAGAAAGGACTCCATGATGATTGATTCTTCCAGATATATTCTGAGGAAATAAACGGATGAGGATTAACAGCTTGTCTAAGTAGCAGTACTTCACGACATTGCCAAAATGTCCCTCTATTAATATTGTTGAGGGCCCTCCTTTTAGATCAATACAAACTTTGTATAATTGTTTGTAATATCCAAATTCCTTTTTCTGGATCTGGAAGAGGAGAAAGATGATATTGGCAGTGCTACATCCTGCTTTAAAACCACACCGACTCCTCTGGATGTATTTGCCATTCCTAATAAGAGCCGGGCTAGTAGGACTTCTGACAGATTTGTTAGAATAGATCCCATGGTTGCCTCTTCGTATTCTGACCTCAGATGGATATGAAGATGGCTTAAAGACTTTTGGTCATCTGTGCCATTACCATAACGAAGATTGTCAGAGGACAGTACCTTCAAGGATTGGTGGTGAAGGGCATCTATTGATCCATGGCTGAATTACTAGACTTCCTGTTGCTTCTGTCTTAAGCTAGAATAATAAGTTTTGGGATTCTCTTTGTCTTCTGCTAGTTGACCCCGGTTGCGTGATCAAGGATACTAGAATGCTGGACTGTTACTCTGGGTTCTTGCCCCGTTCCAGACACTAACCTGCTAGGTGATTTAGGGCCAATTGCTTCAGATGGACGTACCCCTCCCTCTTTTCTTCCCATTGCCCCTCCAAGTTCTATTAGATTCCAGTGGGATTTGTCTGCAGAGATGCTTGGGAGAATTAAGGTGAAAAATGTGAAGTCAATGCACATAAGCTAAAGCATGTTAATCCTTAGAGAAGAATTAAGCCACGGTGAATTAAGGCCACTTTACTGCTGAATGAGAACATCCACATGGGAGTTGAGTGTGCTTTGACTTGCATGTATTGGTCTTTTGCCTTTTTCATTTGCCCTTGCTTCTTGGAGGGTTCCCATGGAGAATATGGCTGCACGTCATTAACTGCCCAAGTCTCTCTGGAGAATGGTACTTGGACACTTTTGGAAATCGCACCCTTTGTTGATCTCTGCCTTTCTTCCCTCCCACGCTTTGTCTGTCTTGTCACTTTAGACTACAGGCTCTTTGGGGCAGGGACTCTGTTTCTACAGGATGTGACAGGGCCCTATTTTTGTTGAGGCCCATAAGTGCTACTGTAATACAAAATAAGTGAACAAAAGCTACTTTCTGTCCTAGAGGGCAGATGGTTCATGCTTGGAAAGAGTTAGCTCAACTTCAGCAAAAAACAGACTTTCTTTCCTTGTCTTGGTGACTTTGCTGACATTCTGTGCTGTGGTAGGTGCTGCATCCCTTCTAGCTTTGTATTGCAACAAGAAGAGGGTGGGTTTTTTAGTGGCACAATCCCACAGTGGGCTAAAGACCACTGCATCCCATCCTTCTTTGTTTTGAGGCTGAACCAGAAGATTTTATGGAAGATAAGTTTTTGTTTTAAGGATGATATTTGCTTTCTCTGTTTCCATTTAAAAATAGAGATGGCATTGAGGAAATGTTTGTATTTCATTTTTATTTTGAGCAGTCTTTTCCTCACTTCTGTCAAAGTTTCCCAGGGAACCTTTTAAACTTCTGTATTCTCTGACAGGGAGTGTGATAGGGGAAGCAATTCTGCAAGTTAGGGATGACTTTATTCAATGAGCCACGACAGTGTTATATAGGATCATCCCTAATGAGTGATTAAGAAGCTAATGTTTGTACAGCGCTCGGAGGCTGTGAAGCACTATATAAGTGCTAAGTACTATTATAATGATAAGTATTTCTGATGAGACACTTCCCGTGTAATGTATTCTGCTCATACCACTTTAAGGCTCTTTTTACATGTTTTCTTTTAAGACTTGTAGTTCACTTAATTTTCCAGTGTCCAGCAATTTAATTTTAAGTGTAAATTAGATGCCAAAGCTTTGAGGTATGCATTTGTTTCTTACAGATACTTAGCCCTTTTATATTGGGGTTTTCTCCCCTTAAGCTCAAGGCATTTTAAATGATGGGAGAAGCAATATTATCTTTTGTTGCAGAGATGGGGAAACTGAGGCGTGGGGGGAAGGGATGTAACATAGCCAAGGTCACACACTGAGTCACATAACAGAGATAAGATATTAGAATTCGGTCTGAATTCCAGCCCTCTGCCCTTATCAACTACCCTGCCTCTCATATCATCATGTTTTCACGTTGTGTTGTAATGTAATGTTTTTGCTGAAATGCTAAGAGGAATATATGTATTGGGGTATATATAACATGTATAATGGTAAAAATTGGTCCATAAATTTTACATGTTGGGTGAATTCTCTGGTGGGTTGAAAGAGGTCAAGGCTCCACTAATTTCAAAGTTTCAACCATTACTTAAACAGATACATTTGGGTCAACATTTACAACTTTTCTTTTCACTTATGCTTTCCTTAAATCATAGCGATTTTACAAATGTTATATTTTTAGGTTCTGAAAAAGTTCACTGTGGCTTTTTGATTTTTTTTTTTTCTTTTTTTTATTCCAACATAATAAAATTTGGCAGGTGAAATAATTTTTTACTTTACCATGACTTCTCCTGGGATTTGGGGAAATGGAGGAAAAATAGAAATCTGAGGGGAATTTTTTAATGTTTATATTGTTATGAAGAATATGGTTCAGATACCAGCTCCCTCTAATAGACCTTTGCCTTTCATAGCATAAAGACTTGGCCCTGAAAATTAGCTCTTTCTTATTTTTATTGCAGCTGTGCCTACAGTCCCAACTGAGATTATGTTCCCCTGTGGGTGCTGTACATTGACCTAGTAAAAGACTGTCCTTACCCTGAATAATTTACAATGTGAATAGACAGGCAAATGATAGAAGGAGAAAGATGTACAGGCAGGGGAAGAGACTTGTCTGAAATAACATAGCGAGCAGGTCAGTGACAGAGTTGGTGACTAGAGCCCTGGAATTGCATCCTAAATTCTGTCTTTTAGGCCATACCACTTTGTGGAGAGACATGTCTGCAGCAAGCTTCTGCTTGGGTACATGGGGGTCTACCAAGACCACACTCTTGGCAGGATCAGAGACTGAACAGGCTATAGCTAGGGAGCTAAATAGCAATGCATACCGTGGCATCTAGCTATAAGTTCCTTTTCCTTTATCAGTCTATGACCCAGTTTTTCATTGGTGATACTTATGCAATCCAATAGTGTACTGCAAGTGCACCTTTCCCACTCTTTGATTTTATGTATCACAAAGTATTGGAAATTGCATAAAAGGGTATTTCTCATTGTGGGTACTCTCTAAGTATGCTTGCTGAGGGTTACCCTTCAAATCCAGTGGAGAACCTTTTATCTCCTCCAGCAATTTCTTGGCACTCTTCACATGTGATAGGCCTTTAGTTGAGCCTCTGCTCACAGGCTAATTTAATTTGGACTGAATATTAATGCT